GACAACAAAATAGTGGTATTTTCAGCAGTCCTAACAAATTCAGAATGAAATGGTTCATAATCGTACTTATACTTGCTTGTTATTGAACATTATTGGTTTGCCTCTTCGCCTTATGTTTTGTCAACAGGCAAATAGTAAATATAGACGTTATTTAACGTTATAGATCAGCTCCAAAGCCAGAGATTTGGAGGTCGCGTTCTTTGAGAGCTTTGTTGATTTGAAGATGCCGGGACGTTATGGCCATAAATGGTTACTTAAACTGGCATACAGGTCGATTGTGACTCCTCTTGGGGACAGAATTCCAATAGCGAGAGGTCCAAGCTGGTCAAGTGTTTGTAAATGCCAGAGTGGAGAAGGTGTATGTTTCTGTAGGTGCAATGTACTTAAACCCACAACCCCATCTAACAAGTGTCTTCTGTCCTCCTTCACAACACATTCAGTTAGCTGCAGGATACAACTAAATCGCCGACCAAATTGCTCTCTTCCGAACAGCAAAATTCGGACTAGCCAGCAAATATTGACCCTCTAGACGAGCGAGTGCTGGTAGGAGAAGGGTAAGCTGGTTGTTTGAGGGCTGATAACGCGCTAACACTAGGGGAGCGGGAGATCTACCTGTCTGTATACCTGGATTAGTTCAGGGCAGCTGGGGTGAGGGGGACGCGTCAGGTAGCGCCGTAATGAGCTGGCTAGTTAGTGAGGGAGTGGTGAATGTTACACTATGGGATCATGTCACTGGTTTTCAAGATAGTGTGTGATATAAATGAGTGAATGAGTTGGCTTTATGCCGCTGTTGGCTTTACCCCGCATTATCCAGTCATACCACGTATGGGACATCAAGAATAGGCTTCACGCATTACTTGTCGAACCCGGTCGGTTGGTGTGACGAACCAACGATTGAACCACGAGGCCACCCCACCGGCCATATAATGATGTAATTTGAGTTTCAGTTTTAGTCATTATCATAATTACCCACTATAATTATTCTACACATTTAACGTATTGTTGGGAGAGTTGGTCAGTTTTGAAAGATACAGGACTAGCGATCCTCTACATATGCAACACACTTAACTTGAGCCCACGTGGACATTAACACCCAGCTGCACGTACCGGGGCCACGAAGTTTGGGGGGTCACAGAGAGGGTTCAATCTGACAAAGTACCGTCGTGCTTGTGAACTTAAACGTAGGCCATGAGTGACTTGATAGCAAATCCGTTGGCGGAACAACTATTCTTATTATGTTAAAAACAATTCGCCACCAAGACTAAATAATTCAAGCGAGGACGAGAGTTTTCAGATAAGGCGGTCGGGAATGAAAATGATATAATTCATTTAACTAAACCTAAGCTTCGACAGAAGACATATTTTCATGATTTTCAAGAAGGACAACACACAAACATTAGTTTCTACATCAGAATAACCTTAACGACAAAATGAGTGACAATGAGTGAGTTAAGCCCCGCAGTGGCTGGCGTAACCAGCTGGTCCGCTTCCTGCCACGGCTAGCAGCCACTAGAGTCGTGTATCTGTTCCTCCTGCTCAGCGTCAAGATGCAGCCAGCATGTTACATCAGTGAGCCAAAGTGGCCTTGATGGATGGCGATCTGGGCAGACTCTGAAGCTGACATACCAGCAGAGTCACAGAGGCTGACTCAGACCGGCGTCTGCAACGTCTTCACACGGCAGAACAGGTTCCACCCCGTCCTTCTTAGTTCTCAGCGACGCCGCGACACGGACCCTCTCAAACAATGACGTCATGTTCTGTGTTTGTTCTATGCTGGTAATTTTCCTGTTTAACTGGATACATCGTTAAAATGTTGTTTGCTTTTATATTTATAATCCTCCAGTATTTGTTTCTAAACAAAGAAAAAAAAACTCAACGTAACAGGTTTTACTTTATTTGTACAAGTACAATAACACTGTGGTATCCTGGACAGAATAGGCTCGTAGTACCACACTTGTCTTGACCTTTCTAATGAGGACTGTGTGGTTACCGTGTGTAACTGACTGACTGTGTGTCACCCTGCCCAGTGGCGCGGGGCGGTGTTGGTTGAGTCTAACCCCGGTTTGCCTGACCCAGACCCAGCGGATCTCGGTGGTAGTAGCATTTCTCCACAGGCGTTAAGATCAGTATCTAATTCCCCAGTAGCTTCTACGGGTTATCTTTATTACAGTTAATAACCGCTCCTGAGGCAATACGAAAATAGTGCGAACGTAATCTCACTGAACACATTACATAAATATCCACATTCTGTCATAGACTAAGCCTAGATACATCGTGTGATAGCAGCTTCAGTGATATGTGAGGATGCTATTATACAGATACGTGGCATGGCGATAAAGAGTTCGATGTAGGGGAAAAGAGACGCTGGTCTTCTCGTAATCCATTAAATATAATTATCTGTCATGAGGAATAGGGTGCGCTGTTTTAACCTTGATTCGCCATATATATGGTGATTGTGACGCTACACGATGGCTGTAGAACAATGTCCTAAACGAAAAACAAATACAATAGCCTCACTGCTTGTTCAGTATGAGTGTTTAGTTTCCTTACTATAAAGTTGTATTATATACCGAGACAAGACCAATGTAATTACTTGTTTTACAGACCGCCTTCCCATTTTAGCCAGTTTCAAAACATATATCTGTAACGGGACACAATCGTGTCATGCAACCGTTTATCTTTAAAGGAGGGGGTAGCATAAGAGTTCGTTTTGGCCCACATGAAACGTCAAATTGTAAGCAACTGTGCTATGACGGTATGAAAATTATGATACATATTCAAATGTTTCACATAACCTTTTTTTCTATCTTACACTTGCAAGCTTTTTCACTGCTGGTATGTTCAAGTGTACACTGGCTAAAATGAAGGCTGATTTTGGAGAAATTTAAGAGAAAATCAAACAAAGAGCACGTTTGTGACCCAAGATTATTTTTACCATATATTTGTACCGTAGATTTCGCTCCTTCCTAATTTGGGGAACACTAAGACAGGTAATAAATTCGTCTGACTTGACAGAGACCGAGCCATCAGACGTTGCTACATGGAGCGACAATACAAGGTTTTAGCCATCTAAACGTACTTAATTCACTAGTTTGTATCCCCGTGAAGATCTGGGGTAGAATAGGTCTTCAGCAACCCATGCTTGCCGTAAAAGGCGACTCTGCTTGTGGTAAGAGGCGACTAACGGGATCGGGTGGTCAGGCTCGCTGACTTGGTTGATGCATGTCATTGTATCCCAATTGCGTGGATCGATGCTCGTGATGTCAATCACTGGATTGTCTGGTCCAGACTCGATTATTTACAGACCGCCGTCATAGAGCTGGAATATCGAGAAGTGCGGCGTTAAACGACAAACAAAACAAAACAAAAAACATTAGTTTGTAAACATTAAATTCCGTGGCTTACCTGGTTGCATACTGGTCGACATGATGTTGGCAGATGTTGAGCTTTTCGTGTTGACAGTTTACTAGTGATTGTGAAGCCGTGGACAAAACAGACGTAGAATTATATCAATATATATGTATATATGTAAAAAATGCAGAAGTGAATCCAAATGTCATAACGTTGTCTTCACATGCATATGCTCGTTTTGCCGTGGAGAGTTTAAGTGTCTCATACTCATTTATAAGGCCTTAGGTTACACTTGGAAGACACAGTTCTAAACAAAACAAATGTAGCCCGTGTGAACAGATATAGCCTTCTTATATAAAAAAATGTTCATCATTATTCCTGATGTAACTTATGGTGAGAAGCGACTGACTGAAGAAATCGGAGCAATGAGGTGACAATGTCTCAATATATCACAAAATACAGTTTTTCAAGAATGTTGATATGGGAGCATGTGACACGAATGGCCACATACACCTGTAGTAACACGATGTCACAGTCGATTACCCTGTGTCATGAATTCAAACAAGAAAACATCTCCGACTGTCAGCAACAACGTGATGACTCCCCCACACCGACATGGCGGGCGACAAGGGGTTGCAACTGGTAAGTGCCTCGTGGAACAGGTTTCTGAACTCGAGTCCCACGATAACTGCAGGCACTGTCCTAGATACTGCTACCTGGCGTCACTGGACGTGTTTTCCGACTGAACACGACTGAAGATGTATTCTGAACATCACTGATCGCTGCTGAACACCGATAGGTAGTTATACTGAACACCGTTGAACACCGATGAACATTTATACTGGATACCGTTGAACCACCCTGGGCAGAGACACCGGCCTACGTCTGTGTTATGTATCAATCGTGGTAAAGATGTTTTAAAGTGAGAGCTAGATATGAAATAAAAAGATACAACTATAATATTTGATGAAAATCCAGATGGTGCATTCGGATTCTGGCAGCGTGACGAGAATTTGATCTGTGGTACAAGTCTGGTTGTGTAATACTGTGGAGTCCTACACCTGATGCAGTGTAAGCTAGTATTGTTTTCTGTGTTAGTGTTCACGAATGTATGAGACTCATATCACAGACCAGGGTGATGTCATTAAACCGCCATTAGCAGTGTTTCAGTTTGAGACAGAGCTGCCACTCAGGGCTAGGGTACATGTTATTGTGATTACCTCTGTCTGAACGCCAATACACACGTCAACTTCTTATCATGCGTTCACGTCTATTTATACCTTCCACGAGCCGTGTTAATACACAATACAGTCCTTTTCAGTCCGGGAAGAAATGTCACAGCTCTCATGATAGTGGGATTTTTTAAATAAATATTGGAATTGAATTTGAAAAATATATGATTTACTATGAAAACTTCATATTAGGTCGTAGGTGTTAAAGCTGCAGTAATGTAAATTTGAGGAGGATTAACTCACATTGCCACTATTGCAACCTGTATGGCCGACAGGCCATTGCATTGTTAGACAGTACCTATATACTCCAGTACACGGGGGTAACAGTTCCTTCACGGTCAGGTAGCTCGGGGTCAATTCAAGCCATGAAAGTCTGATGGTGCATCTCAGTGAAAATCAAAACAGAGTTGGATTGTATTATATTTTCCCACATTTATTTGCAGCGGGAGAGAAATGTACATGTTTGTCATGCCGATAACAGAACACATGGTGGTTCATTGCTATATACAAGTCATTCAATATACAGATACCATTCATGTAACAAATATAACAAAAACAGTCAGTCTCACATTCACTCATTCAACATAGCATTCGGTGGAAATTCAATGACATAATAAATAATCATGGCAACAACATTTGGATCATTTTGATTGACAGATATCTACAAATTTGATTCGGTATGTATCTACCTGATTGTGTACAAAGTACTTCACCAATCAACACATTAGCAACATAGGTGGATTACAATCCTCACAACTGTTGGGTCTTGTTCAACAAAGCACCACATAAATATCCGTAACAACAAAATTAAAGAAAAAACCTTTAGAATTGTGACTACCAGTTACTAACTTTCTTAACAATTTGTCATAAGCTATCTGAACGCTTTATCAATTTTCTCCTAATATTGTAGTCTAGTTAATTCATTATTGTACAGTTTAAATAACAGTATTATAAACAATGATATTCTACTTTGGTTCACAGTAACACATGTATATGAGTTAAAAACCTATAAAATTCATTTAATGTTCAGGAAATGTCAGTGTCATATTTGCAATCAAAACGTGTTAACTTCATCACATTGTTCCCCCTTCCACTGACTGGCAACTAATGAAAGCAGGCGGAGATGAGAAATGTTAATTTCACATTGACATGAATCAATAGCAGTAGCCAATTGTGTCGCCCCTACCACCAGCCCTGATGCCAGACACACTATGTGCTTATTGCTTGGGACATAATTACCCGACCTGCTCCTCATAAAGAAATAGTTTGCATCAATTACCAGCTTTTGTCAGCCAGACATCAAACACTGACATCTCCTGTGCATGACAACAGTTGTTGCATATGTGAAACTGACAACTTTATGATACCTTTGGCAAGATATTGACAGATATTGGTTCCAAAATACCCACTGTACTAATTAACACATACATAATCAAATAATGCTGATTGGTCATATATCATTATTGAGATTGCAACAATACTATAACAAGAAAAATTTCTAATGACTCCAAAACCAGTTCATGTCAATAATGACACCAAACATTCAGGTCCTAACACTTTCTGTGATTTGTGCTCAGGAAAAACATCTTGTGAGATCAGTAGTTCTATCATTTCTGTTGACGCATGAAATTCCAATCATATTAACGATGAGAAAAAATATTTTCTCATGCTATTAAATTAATCATCATATTTGCTAGGTCTTACTTCATTAATATTTTACATTGTGTCAGCTCCAATAATAAGCATGACACTCAGCTGGCAAATGAAGCCAGGGGAATCTCATCAATTATTTTCTACTCTAGCTCATGTGTCCAACATATTTCTCACATTTGTGCAAAGGTGACATATTTTTCAGAAGATGCTCAGAATATTGTCTCTAAATTGCCCTTGGTGTGAGTGAAATATATGAGAATAAAGACCACATAACGAGAGTAATGATCACTCACATTCCCAGTGTTATGAAAGTATTTGTACTTTAAACAATATCAATACTGCTTTTTTAAGTTTTGTCCCTAACTTATATCCTTATGACCATGATTTGATCATAATCTGTATAAAGATTATACAAGTGTGTACAAAAATATCTATACTCAAATTGTTATATTTCAGCTATTTTTCTAAATATGGAAGTCTTAATTGCTCTTAATTCAATCCATTTTCAACAACACAAATGTAACATACATTCACTGACTTTAAGTCAACACATAAACCAGGTGAAACTACTGTCTTTGGGATATTCCATGTTGGAAGGAACATGGAACTGTGGAACGTCATGGATGATGCTGCGGAGTTTAGCACACTTGCAACTGATGTGAACAATGACATGTAGATGACTGATGTCACACCACAACATCCTTGAAGTCATTGAAGTCTAAATTAACACAGGATTCATCATTGTCAATAGTATAGCTCCCTGAGGTCGTGGTGGACCTGTCGTCCCCATCATCTGTCGTTGCAATACTGTCGTTCCTCCAGTCTCTCACATGCGAGATATGATCTTGCACTGGTAAATGGAAATCCCCAACAGATTTCTTGCACCCACCATGGTAAAAATTGTCACTGGTAAAAGTGGGATTTCTCACAGTGAAACCACAATTTTGAGGGCCCCGAGAGGGAGGTTTCAGGGGTGGGTTCTGTGGATATGTTTTGTCCATGTTTCTCACAGGGTGATGTTTTGAAGGTGGCACTTGATGATGTTGAGAGGGTTCTGGGTAAATGTCATGGTGGCCTTTGTCAGACAAGTCTCTGAAGGTCACATGCTTCCTGACACTGGCTCGAACATTGTCTTTAAGTCCTGACTTAAGAGAACTTGGTATGGTCTGACTTGACTGGAAGCTTGTGTTGTTGAGCAATGTATCCCGGGACATCTCATGGAGGTCTTCTGGAAAACAAGAAACAAAACTTAATATTGATGCTATAGAAAGAAATCATCAACATCATCCATACATGTCATAATTGTAATCAATAACTCGATTATTAACACCTCTCAATCATATATCATCATTGTCATAATCTATAGCTAGAACCCTCTTTCCATATTTGCAATTAACACTTTTTCATAATAAATAAATATTCACTGAAATAAACCCATTTAAAACAACAAACAAATACATATCCATATTTCATGTTCTCTCCAAGTGGAATCCCTACAATAGATCTTTCAACTTCTTTTTAACTTTCACTATAAAATCAATACGATATTTAGTCAGCCATGTTTGTGTTTCCCAGCTCCCCTCACAGAGCAGCCTGGAGGGGCAGTTGGGGGACAGGGGACATGTTTTGTTCCCCGGGAGAAGTGTAGCCAAACAGTAATCCCCTGCCAGAGCAGTGCAGTATTTGGGGAGTGTTGGTGTAGGCCTATTATTAGTACATCACCAATGGCCATCTTGCTACACAGCACTGTGTAAGACATTCCCCTCTGTTTCTTAGCACCCGCAGTGCATTTCATTCATCATGACACTGTCAATCTTAGAACCAAAAGAATGCTTACAAAAGGGTCCAGAAAAAGACAATACAGTCTTGTTTTTCTACTCATGTCTAATGTCTGATCATTGTTTCCAGAAAAATGTTTAATTACAGTGTTTCTCCATTTTTAACATTTTCTTGAAATCTTAGAATTTAGAACAGTATGGTGATGTGCTGGTGGTTGAGCTCCCCCAACACACAAACATCATTTTATTTGTCCGGAGACTTGCATGTTGAAAGATGTGTAATGTACATTCACTTGTCAGTTTTAGCATGATGTTCTGTGAGATTCCAGTTGTAATTGTTTATAACGTGTTACTCAACACAGCCCATACTAGATACATTTCCTTTACTGAAGCTAGTCTTTTGTTACTCAGATTGTTTCTCAAGTATATTATGGTGTGGTTTCAGATCTGGCATTCTCTCATGTATCCAATATATCTTTAATGAATGCTTTATATACATATATATTTATATGGTCTGCCATCTTCAAGAAGAAAGATGTGTATTGTGTATCTGTGATGGTTATCATCCTGTTTAGGTAAACATTGCTCTTCCCATGACCATGCTCATTGGTACCATTTCTGTAACTGTAACAGTACCCAAAGACATTCTTCCTTATTCATTATTCACTGAAGAATTCCCTTTCAGTCCTTGATTTGCTTTATTGACCATAACATGCCAATGCTAAATATTATAATCTCATTATGAATATCTCAGCACAGCATTATAACCCTTGATTAATGACTCCACACAGGAACTATAAGATATGGGGAGATGCAGGAAAGCTTTATGCCTCCAGGCTCATGTCATTTGTTTTAAGAGATTTGTTCTGCCAACATCCAAACGTCTAGGTTGAAACATAAAGGTCATTAAATGTCATGGTTTATTTTGAGGTTTATATGAAAAAGCTTTTTCAAATAAATCTTTGAATAAATGTCATGATATTCCATACAGGCTGTGTTTTTAAATGCTCCAAAATATGGAGGACAGGAAGATGAGGAGGTGAAAGTACACACTGGTCTGGATTTGTTGCAACTAATATACTTCACAAGCTGGAAACTTACCAATCTGTGATGCTGAAGCACCGCTGTGACTGCAGATGTCCTCTTCACTGCCGCCACGGCCGCTGTCACTGGTTGTCGTCTCACCGGATGCATCACTGTGAACGTCGTCTTGACCACGCTGCCAAGCTGCAATTTTCTGAAAGATCAAAAACGTATTACATCACTTGCTTATAAAATCCTATTCCACACAATCAGGTACACTGTCAACTACTTACCTGATAACCCTGTCCCACTGTGAAATTAAGCATCAGATTCAGCGTTTACTGATGTTCACGCAGTGTACACAGATGGGATTCCCAGGGTTTGGGGGGAACCACCAGGGAGATGGGCGGAGTTGATTAAAATCTCTGGGTGGCAATTTTATACCTGCCATCATAACAGAGGAATAAATGCGGAACCCACATGTGGGGTTATTATGCCATCAAAAACATCAGCTGGATTCTGAATTTTCTCAAGATACTCAAATCTTCATTACACACAAAAATAATCTATCATAGATTGGAATTTCAAATCTGTTGGGACATTACCATCACCATATTTTTTGCATAAAATTATTTCAGAAGCTTGCATTTGAACAGATGTTTTGTGCCATGAAATGAAATGATTGCCGTTGTTGCAGCACTCAGTCAGCTGTTGGGCTGAATGCACACTGTCAGCTAATGTGATCAGTTTCACGGCATGACGTCACACATGACTACCATCCTAAGACTGGCTATTGGACATAAATCATTACAGCTCAGCTCCCTGGGGAGAATACCACCAAGACAGTAATGTTAACACCAATCACAAATGAAAAACCTTTCACCCCTGAAACATACAGTCAGTGATAAGCTTACAGTATTAAGCCTCATATGCCATGAGCTCAGTCAACAGGGAGACAGGAAATATCTATTAATCACCAGGAAATCTATATGTGGCAGATCAGATTGACACTATTTTTGATAATCAGACTGAAGATGAATTATCATCTTAAATCTTTTATTAATAGCATAGTAAATTAGAGATAGAAATAGAAATAATAAAAATAGCCAGTAATATTAGAATGGAGAAATGTATGTGATATTAATAGTCTATGAAACATTCCTGTCGCCTGTTTTACTGCTTGTTTTCATTACAAATGCAATATCTATACACTGTTATCTGGCTGTCATGCCCAAAGTGCAATAAACAATACAGCATACTGATAGCACTAGTGGGATGGCACATGAGTGCATAGTGTGTGAGCTGCTATGCTGTGTGGTATGTACCTGTGTGTTAGAGAGCTGATGGCCCTGGTATGTCTGCAGCAAGGCCTGGTGCAGTTGCAACACCGCCAGCTGGTCCAGCCGCCCGTCACTCTCATCCCGAGTCTCTTTCGACAAACTGTACTGCTGGAAAAGAAGCAAACATGTAAATATTCCATATACAGCCAGCTAAGGCAAATAAACATAATGAATGCTTCTTGCTGTTGTTTTTGTTTTTATGTAAAAACAAACAATTCCAGTGATTACATAAGTGCTGTTTAATCTTAAATTTCTTTGGTGATTTGAATCATAAAATTTAAAAATAATTTTGACCTTTCATATTCTATCAAAATACATTTCTTTTTACCTTTTTTAACCTTATCTGTATAGCATGTGGAGCAGCTATGCTGTGAACTTCCACAGTGCACTACAAGTGACAACTGGGTGCAATTGGATTTATTTAATGGGCAGCTACAAATCTCACACAGTAATAAAAGTTGCCAACAAGCCTGGATTTATTATAGCCAGATAATTCTCCCTGACTGAATTGCCAGGTGAGGTGAAATTGTTTTGAGAAAATGAAATCCTGAGTGTCAGTCTATCACTGATAAGCTTCCCTTCAAATGGTTTTCTCCAGTACGGGAAGTATAATCCTCCACAGCTTTTAGGTATGAGAAACATATTCTTTATTCTGTAAGTTACAAGATTTACAATTACTTTATGCTACAAAAGACATAGGGATCTCACAGACTCCTGGTTTCAGATCAGCTATTGACAAGTTCAATTTCTCAATTGCTATCATGTCCAAGTTGGCGCCTGGCAGTTCTGCATGGCCATCATGAACAAAGAATTATGGGTATTTCACATATTTGTGGAACAAATTGGACCATGTGTTGTATGTCTTTGCAAAATAAAAAGCCATTGTGTGGGGCTCATCTCCAAATAGAGTTATTGTCAAGCAATGTATGCATTTACTGTTGCTGTCATTTGATAGTTTCATGTCATAAATGCTCTGGGAGCTAGTGAGAGTTGGATAAAGACGACTTTGATAACGAATCAAACAGGTGTAAATTCAGGTGATAGAAAGCCAATACCACTGGGGAACAGGGAATATTGGGACACGATTCAGTTACACGGACACTGAAATATTGCCGCGCTTTGCAAATTTGTTGTTCTACAGCAAACACAGGGCCAGCTATCTCATATAATAGCAGGATTACATTACAGGATTCTGCAGGTTTCAGGGTTTTATAGCTGATTTAATAACTCATAAAGTGTACTTATACACTTTCCAAAGTGTACCTGAAGAAGTTTCTAAAATGGTATTATGTTGAATATATAATAAATCAAGTAAGCAAATCTGAATAAATGTTCAATATACTAAAATTATTTTACTGCTTTAACTTATAAAAAAAGGTATATCTTATGAAATGTCTATTAAAATATCCAATTTAGACCATTCTGAGAGAAGTGGTGTACATTTACTTTTGTCCATTTGAGTGGTGTTGACAAGTTGGCACCTTCTTCCTGCTAGGTATCAGCCTTACATGACATGTCTTTATCCCTGGTCATACAACAGGCCCAACCCTGGAACCACCTTAGTAGTCACACAGGGCAATTATTGCACTAAATGATAATAACCACGCTTGGACTCAATTTGTACCTGTTTTATCTGCTGAACAATCAAAGCCAGCAGGGTGGGATGTAATTGTACCTCCCCTACTGGTGATAATTCCACCCTCCACCACTCAAGTGCCTGGCCACCCAACCCTGGCATTCCTTCCCCCTGACCACTGAGTCCCCCCTTGACTGGCACAAAGTCTGAGGTCACTACATTCATGTCACTTGTACATTTCTTCACGGAGATGTCAATCAAACAATGAAAAACATACTTGACACTGAAATAAGCTGTCAGAAGAAAGAAGGGTATTCAGTGTTTCATATCTAAAAATTTGCAACAAATATTAGCTTGGGAAAACCATAAACTGATTCCAAATTCAGTATTAAAAAAGACAAATTTACCTTTTTGACAGCTTGGAATATCAGCTGAATATGATGCGTTTTTCAGTGTTTGATATTGTATTGTATTGCTCTATCTGTTAGAAACTAACTGCTATTTTCAATAAGGTAAATACTATGTCCAAACAATGCATGCTGAACCACGACACGTGACATTCAGTTTGTGATCTTTACAAATATAGCTGCACCAGACATTGAAATACTTCTCCTTAACACTTAGAGGCAGTGTGTTCCCAAATTATAAAGACAAGCACAGAAATAACTAGACATAGCACATCCTAGTCATAAGTCACTTCTGTGAAATGTCAACGTCAACACTGCTGTCAATCGGGTCCAAGTTGCTCACAAATTTCCAATATTGACACACATCATACTTGAAAACCCTTCAATGATGACAGAACCCTTTTCTTAATTTACCCAATCTCTTGAATGTAACTCACACTCATTATGCAAACAGTCGGTGGGGGAAAATATGACAGGATAATATTTCTGTCAACTCCTGTGCTCCATGTCAACATATCATCTTTATTTACATGTCCCTGTGAAATCAACAACACAACAGGTGTAAAACACAGTTGGCAATTTAGTTCAGGGTAATAAACTTGTCTGCTGATCCCCCTAGCTGGAGTCACTAATTTCAAGTACATTGCAGCAATAAGTCACGCTGGTGATTAGCAGTTTGGTGTGAAGGATTAGGGGGATGGAGTGGCAGGTATGATTGGGAGGGGCACAGATCAGCGCACAGGTAAACAATAAACTCAGGTAACACTGCAGATTACAGACCCATGCTTTGTTATATACAATAGGTGTTCATGTCAAAAGCCTTGTACATTATGGCCAATTTCCAAGTGACTCAGTGCTTGTGCATGTCAGTCACTCGTTTCAGCCGGGTTTCCTAGTCGTTCCTTGACACTTGGCTGACCAGTAGTTTTTTAGGTGTTGGTTTGTAATCCAGCTGATAATTCCCAGTGCAGTTGGCTTATGTTTGTGTGTTTCCAATCAATGTCCAAAGTGATCATGCATGCCAGACAGGCAAACAGAAGAAATACATTTGTATAACTGTAAAACTGCAAATGAGTAATATTCACTTTTCAAGATTTTCTTTTAAAATCATGGATATTCAATCAAATTCTGCCACAACATATATATTTGAGTAATTTCAATATGATTGCTTTCCAAATTTTGTCTTAAGATGCAAATACTAAAAGAAACTGTTTGACTGAGATGAGAAGTGGTGTTTAACTCTAACATTTCCATGGTCCTAAATAATTAACAAGTTAACTTCAACATCCAGACACAATAGAAAAAAGATTTTATGTCAGAGACCTAAAGTAGGAATTAATTCAATGATAATTAAGAATCATTTACTTTGCTACCAAATCGCCTTGATCAAATTTAAAACCAAATTCTCAAAATTAACCCTTACACGTACAATTGTAATTTAGATTTCCCAGTGTAACCCTTCCTTGAGCTGTACCATGGTCTTCCACAATTAACCCTTGAGCAGCCGTCTCCTGATTAAGTCTGATTATGATTAATGACTAATTCACTTCAAGAGTGGACTTTTCGTTAATCTGATACTATTAAAGGCTCAGTAATCAGCTTACTGGAGGGGTTAATTGCAATAATTCCACTTTCTTAGTAAATATTTGATCTGTACTGACTTGCTGTGGCTGATTTGGCCCAAATAGTAGCTAAGCTCTGATGTCTAAAGCATCAAATTCATAAGAATAAAAAGAGAGGTTCAAATGGAGTTCAAATTTCTCTTTGCTTGATAAATAAAAATGTATCTGAACTGTATTTTTATATCTACCTTGACTCATATGCTTCCATAAATTAGGGCATGCTATTTCATTCGTGCATTTAGTTTCCAATTCTCTTCACACATGAGTATATGCTTATGATTTTCACTGTCAGTGAGATTGTTGAGGTTTCTTTGAAACTCTAGTCATAAATTGATCCAAGTTGTACACAGTGACTGCAGAACTGCGTGCCTATCAAATGCTATGTCATTACTCCGTCACTGTAAGGCAGACCGGACAGTTCCATGTCAAGTGTTTGGGAGCAGGATGCTATGTCATTACTCCGTCACTGTAAGGCAGACGAGACAGTTCCATGTCAAGTGTTTGGGAGCAGGATGCTATGTCATTACTCCGTCACTGTAAGGCAGACCAGACAGTTCCATGTCAAGTGTTTGGGAGCAGGATGCTATGTCATTACTCCGTCACGGTTTTATTGTGCGTCTGACAGACATTTATTTGCAGCCACTGTAAACTATTTGCGTGTCTCTCTTTGAGGTGTGGAGAGTATATAGATGAAACTAACAACCAATAACTGCAGTTGGCCAGCATCGCTCGGGCCTCATTAAAACAACACAGTCGTAGATTTCCATGTCAGTTGCATCCCTAACACCACTCCAAAGTGTAATCTCAGTTCTCGGAGTGTGTAATTACTGAAGGAAAGTGATGTTTTTTCATTAAATGTTGTTACATTTGAAGAAATCACCCAACTTTGAAAACAAAACGAGAAATAAATACTTGTATTTCAACATTTGAAGACGGATGTGTGCGTCAACACTGCCTTCAGCAGGAGCGTTAATTGCTTATTTAGATCATATAGGATTCTACTGAGTACACTTAATGACTTAATATTATTTTTAAAATCATCATTTTTCAAATCAAGTGCTCTTACCTGTGAGTTGGAGTCATTTTTCATATTCTCAGCATCCTTTTCTTTTCGCCCGGAAAATCCAAATTCTTCATCAGTGTGATTTTCCACTCCTTTACTGGTCCTGACATTATCTACCTTTACCTTGTCAACATACTGAGTGAGAGAACTTGGAGGCTGGAGATACATCGATCCCTCCGGTGTCTTAGTCCTCTGCTTGTCTTTCCTCTTCATTACAATAATAACTAACACAATTATTGCCGAGACGATCGCAGTGACGCAGATGATCGTCACAGTGATGAGGACATTCTGGTCATTGTGTCCATGAGTACCCAGCATGGCGGAACCATTGCCAGCAACAATGTTGACGAAGAGGATGGTGTGGGATGCATGGGGAGGAACACCTCCATCTTGGACCATGATCATAAACTTATACATGTTAATGTCATTCTTGGACAGGTGCTTTGTCACGGAAATTTCACCTGTTTTGGCATCAATTTCAAATCGACCACTGTCATTTCTTGATGTGATCACATATTTCAGCTGAGCATTGACACCAAAGTCGGCATCTTTGGCTTGGACTGATGTGATGATGCTGTCTATTTGATAGTCAGTAGATATCTGAGTTGAGTGATGGGTGATGTTGGGGTAGGTGATGACGGGCATGTTGTCATTTTCATCCAGGATTGAAATTCTGACATAAGTAGTTGCATTTAGAGGTGGGGTACCTCTATCAATAGCCGAAACTCTGAATTCATACTGATTTCTTGCTTCATGGTCTATACTTCCATTCAAAATAATTGTCCCATTTTGGAAAAGAGCGAAAGGTGAAATATTGTCAATTTCAGGTGAAAGTGAAATGTACACCTCTCCATTGCCACCAGTTTCAAAATCAAAAGCAATAATTTGCCCAACATTTTGCCCTAGTTTAGCACTCTCAGAGACATTAAAATGGAAAACAGAATGGGAAAATGTAGGTTTCTGATCATTAACATCGATCACACGCACTGTCACTTTGGCAGTTGAGGTTTTAGGAGGATTTCCACTATCGACAGCAATCACAGAGAAATTCATGACTGATTTTGTTTCATAATCAAACCGTGTATTGGCTAGAATGAGACCAGACTCTGGAGAAATTATAAACTCCTCCCGGTTGTACATCGGTGAGAGGGAGTACCTGATGTCACTGTTGATGCCTTCATCCACATCCTGGGCCACCACTGTAAGAACACTGTCCCCTATCTTGTTGTTTTCCCTGATGGTAGCTGAATAGACGGCACGGCTAAACTGTGGGGCATTGTCATTCTCGTCTGTGACTTTCACAATGAAACTTGCGTTTACACTAAGTGGGGGTGTTCCTGCATCCTCACACTGAACGGTCAAGGTATGTTCAGCCTTGGACTCCCGGTCAAGTGGTTTAGCTACAATGACTTTATACTCATTAACATCAAAGCCCTGGAGTTCGAAATAGTTATGCTGTATAAGCTCACATTTAACAATACCATTCCTCCCTCTGTCCGACTCATACACCCGGATATGTGCAACCACTACACCCAGGTTGGCATACTCGGATATGAGGGAGAAGTTCAGGACCTGACTGGTGAGTAAGTTGACTCTGATTCTCGGTGGGTTGTTGATGGTGTCAAGGACTTCCACAGTGACCACCGTTTGGGTCGTGAATGGCTGCACCCCCATGTCACTCGCTTCTACAATGATGTCATACTTCTCCTCCGGCTCACTCTGAAGCTCACCTGTCACACTTAGCTCACCTGTCTGGGGGTTAATTGCAAACAGTTTCTGATTCTTCACAGCTTGATGGGAGCTGAGACTGTATCTCACCTCACCATTGGCACCAGAATCTGCATCAGTTGCATTCACCACCAGGATTACAAAGTTCTGCGCCACATTCTCTTCCACAACAACACTGTAGGAATCTTGTGTAAACCTGGGTCGATTGTCATTCATATCAATCACATTGATTTCCACACTGAGGACGCCCTGGTTGGGCGGCACCCCGCCATCCACAGCGATGACCTGCACATTGTACAAGTTTCTCTCTTCATGGTTCAGCTTCTCCCGCACCACCAGATTCAGATAGGACGTTCCATCAATGTTCTTGCTAAACTGAAGCTCAAAAGGTCCATCTTCTGGCTGAATGGTGTAGGTTTGTAGAGAATTATTGGCTCCAGTATCCCGATCCACAGCTCCGTCCAGAGCGAAGGAGGCTCCAGTCACCACTTCCTCAGATATGTTCAGTGTCTTCTTGTTGGTTGGAAACTTAGGAGCATTGTCATTGACATCAGCTATGGATATTTCCAAGGCAACCGTCCTGAAGAACTGGGTTAACTTTGACTTGATGGCAATCTCCAAAGACAAAACACAGGTTGATGCAAATGGGCAGAGAGTTTCCCTGTCTAACACATCATCAGACGATGTACGCAGATTCCCAGTATTTTCATCCAGACTGAAATATTTGGTTGTCTCATAATCTCCCTCTGTCAGAAAACTGTACTGCAAGTTTGAAAAGTCTGCTTCACTGACCATCGATTTCAGGTTGGTGTCATTTGGGATATTTCCTATAAATGTGGAGTGTGCAGGGGGCACTTCTTCATATATGTTGTAATAGTACGTAAATTCTGCACATCCACACATTGTGATGAAACACAAACCAATCACAAAAGGTAGGCACACTTCCATCTTGTGTCTGGTTCCAACCATCATATTCCCTAGTTCATCTTAGCCGCAAGCTGCAAATGAAGAAAAGAAAATTAATCCAAAGAAACATCAATAGTCAAAACACACAATACAGATGTAGAAATCATTCAATATAACATATCTCATATTGAACCATCCATAAAATCCCATTTGTAAGCTGAATGTGTCACCTGAGGCAAATGATGTTTTGTGACTGTGGGTAAAATCCTGCATGAGGCAATTGTAGGTGAACTATAGTGTAGGGTTGAGACCTAGCTACAGTCAAGCTGAAAGGTCCTCAATACATCATAAACCAGTGTCAAATATTACCTTGATAAATAAAAAAATCCCCATCCAGCAGCCAGCCTAACACACCACCACTCTCCAATCTCCTAACACCAATAATGCACTGCACGGGAAGCAAGGCTTTACACTGGGCCTGCCTACCACCTAAGCTCCGCCCCCAACCAATCAGAAGCAAGCAGCTGTTTGATTGACAGGGGGCGTCAATTACCTCGATAACGACAGCCTGGGTCAAAATCAGAAGGCATTAAAGCGTTAGAAGATAAGCCTTAATAGCTGAGACAGATCCCACTGCGATCTTTACAAATTTCTTACTGCCTCTGGGTCGATATAGGCATTTTTCTTTCTTTCCCTGCCCCCAGCAGTTCAAATGGTGCTCCTATACAAATAGTATACCTACTGCACTGTTTGGCCAGAGACTGCACAGTGGTGGTTTCTGCTTAATGACAAAATGAGGATCATTTTTTCTCCCTCGCCCCTCCCTCTCATTTCCTTGTCTTTCAACATGTGCCTGTGTTAGGTAATGTTAGTAAAGAGGAAGATGTTTAGCTGGCAGTGATCAGCTTCAGCAGCCAGTCACTGTGATGGGGGAGGTATTGATTGCAGCACCAGGACCTTCCTTGTATAAAGAGAGATTTACTTACACAGATTGAAAAGTGAAAATTATAGGTGTGGATACATGTCAGTATCTTTCACACATTTAAATCTCAGACTCACTTCCTGTGACATAATAGCTAAGCAGAACCTGTTGGTGTTGAAATGTGAATTTATTTATATACAGTTTCAATTATCAAAGATTGAGTGTCATAAAATAATGTTACATTTCCAGAAGCACCTGTCATTTGAAAAAAAACAAAAAAAACAACACAAATCTTATCTCAACTCATAGCTATACTTTTCACAAAATCAGCTATTTAGTCTCAAAGATGTTGTGTGTCCAAGATTTGAATATTTGTTATAATATTTTATCATTATTTGTTTGTATGAAGTAGTTACTTATAATATATGTAGGCACTCTTATTCAACTTGGATGTACTATTCTAAATTGGATGTATCAGGTGATGAAGCTTCAGTTCAAATCATCATAGAACTATTTCTGTTCAGCATAGTAGGATCTATGTCAATATAGCCCAGCTCCCTGTCAATCACACACTGGACCTGATATTTATGACTATCCACTATCTATATGACACACATATCACAGCCCATAATCCCAGGGATAGATCACACAAGCTAATGAGGCATCTTCTACATCCAAATCCTTCCTCACCTCAAAGGAGGCCTTATCATTATTATGTACATATCATGTCAATATAATACCTGGCATGTCTATTACCTCATAAAGCACACACAGTTGCACACACCTGATAATTCCGTATCACCCCTTCATGCTAATCACTGAAAGGTATGTCATTTAGATAACGCTTATTTCATATAATCCTGGCCCTTGATAGCAAGTCACAGTTTACCTGTCTGAGCAAAGAGGTGAATGTTTCATACTAATCTGAACCCAACACCTAATCTGTGACCACAGTGCCTGGTTATGGAGATTATCAGGTTACTAGAATCTGTATCAGAAAATGGGAACTTCCCTGATTTAGTTCACAAATCACTGTCCAAGCGACAATAACATCAGAGGTTGTTAAGTTTGTGCTGGACCCTGGTGGAAGAACTTCAAGTGGTTTATCGGTTAAAATTCCATCCCGGAATTTACACACCAATGATTTAAGAATCTCCAGTATTTATGAGACATCTGCCTGGATGGGAGGACTCCGTAAATAACAGTTTGTTGTCAATTTCAAAATTGACATGACTGTCACTGTTTGTGGCAAGGAGTAAATTTGTCAATTGAAGTCATCACACTCTGCATGTACATTTCACTTAATATGCACGCTGCCTTACTTATGCAGACATTCGTGATAATGTTAATTAAATCTGTCATTAGCTGGATAACAAGGGGCGAAGTTGCAGTGACCTTGTTCATATCAGAGAAACAGACAGGTTCGGCAGGGGTGTTGGCGGGATTCTACAGTCAATTTCACCTGATAAGCTGCCCCACCAGAACTGATAGGCAGGGCACCAGAGATCATCCATCAGCGTCTATTGCACTATCAAATCCTGACAACATTCAGCTGCCACCTACATTTAAACTTCAACTTGCACTAGAAAATGTACGAATGTACCTTTTTTCAAGTGTTCATGTTATCACTTTCAGCTGATGGAATATATATTCTTTCAAAAATAGAATCAACCATTTTGAATACAATTTTGATACTTCTTATATTAATTTCCATGAAAATCACACCATTTGAAGATATAGGTCAGTTTCCTTAAGATTTCCATTCCCCATTGTGATGCCATGCTCAGTGTTGTCAAACACTTCAAATTTACATTACTGCAATAAGACCCCTAAAAGAGCCAATTACAACATAAAACACTCATAAATTCATAATTCCTCACAAGCCAAACAAACAGATGAAGCAACAAAGCCCCATAGATGACAGTATCAGTGCCATCAGTTTACAGCCATGTCTATTGCCCTCGTCCCTATCAGATTGTAGTGCTTCAAGTGCCCTCAACTGTTGTATATATCACTGACACACTCGGCCACTGGTGTACATGCCCTCTCTCAGCCATAGATACCTGAGGTGTCAGCTTTATGGTGTTGTAATTGCTTTCCCTCTACTAAAATGATGCAATGTTCTTGTCTTGAAGATGCTGGTGTAATTAGTGAAGCCCTGACACTGATAATGGTGGGAAATAAACATTACAGACATTCATATTGTACATAGCTGTCAATCATGTTGCACACACCGGAAAATTGATTCTACATACCTTGACAGCCTTTGTTCAATAGTACTGCTAATTTTGTACTTTCATACCCCTAGAAATATTTCATAACTGTGTCATAAAGATTGTTTTTTCAGAAACAGAAAGTAAAAATTCAGAATAAATATACATGTTCCACATAAAAATCACACAATTGCAAATATTGATCTTTTACTAAAGTAATTAACTCATGTACAAACTTGTTGAGTCAATAATGCAAACACTAAAGTCAGAAATGAAGACACATATTTACACACCAGAAGTGTTGCAAGTTTCATGCCATCACCTCTTTAAAAAAATACAACAGTTAATTAGCTGGAAAATATTTTAAGGAAAACCCAAGCCGTGTTTATTTTGACATTTTTGCACCAACAAACCAATGTCATCCAAACATTGATGACCTTGGCTGTTTGCGACTGACACAAGCTATTGCCTGGTGCTGTGGTGTGCAGCAACACTGCAGTTGAGGGGGAGACAATAGACTTCACACATTGCCAGACACAGCCAAGCTGCACAGTGGCTGACACCTAGTGTCAATCACACAAAGAAATATACAATGAAATTGACATGTTTAGGGTAATTATACACACAGTGGTGAGACTATTCAATGTTTATTTTAAGTTAATTACTTACGTCTTCCCACTCTAAGGGTTAAGTGTTTTATGGTTACCGTTTTATGGACATCCATCCAAGTGACATAGAGCTCACAGGATGTTATTCTGCTTGTCATATCATCTGGCAGAAAATATTTACATCATGTATCACCTTTGTAAATTACCTACCTAACAAAAGTGAGAAAAAAATGGCTTTACATCACTAGAATAAACTCTCCAAACGGAAACAGAAATTTAAAATTACGAATTATATTTCTATGGGTGAACAACTACACGTTAGATAACACAAATAGTGTGAATTCATCAGAGTGCAAGATCTACTTAAATAACAATTAAGCCAAGCAGTGACACTGATCTACTTTCTAACAGTGGTGGGTTGGGCTGGTGTCACAAAGTCCTCACTGTTAGAGAATGAGACTCCACCAGTAGCTAGGCCTGGACAACCACACAGGGAGTGCTGGCAGATCAGGAACAGATTAACAAGGAGCACAGACAGAATTTTAATTCTTAGTAAAATCTGATTACATTCAAATGAAATAAGTAAACTTGAAGGCAAACATCTGTAGCCCCGTGTAATGTGTTTAGCCTGGAAGACATGGGGGCCATGAACACCTGGACTGCAACACACATCACATCACTGTTAAGCTCCTCAGTATAGTCACTCTACTTCAGGTAAAAAATACTGTTATGCAAAACATTGTAGTGAACTAGAACAGAGAAATTTTAAAAACTTTTCATTTTGATTTACAATTTTTAATTTGATTTCATAATTCTCTTTACTGATGTAGTGTTAATTCTCCAGCAGTGATTGCCAATTTTTGTTTCAATAGACGTATACAAGGACTATCAGCTTCCTGCACTCATGCATCTGAGGATAAACCTTCCACTACAGGTTTTGAAAGGCTGTGTGATTGATGGGGAAACAAGGCGCTACGCTCACCGATCACAAACCCCCTGTTCTGTGGGTGGGGGTAGCATCAGTTCACAGGGTGCACAGTAGATGAAGACTACATCTTAACTTCCTTTTTTTGTCAGAATACATCAAATAAAATCCTCACTTCACCAAAAAATGTTAATAACTATATTATTTTCAAACGGAAATTGGAAACCCAATATTTATATTATGATGGTACATTTTCATTAAAATTGTCGGAAAGAGAACAATGCTAGGCATTCAATATACAAAATTATATCTTAAGTCAAACTATGCCAGCTAGGACAGGACAACAATAAACAGTGATATCCATATTTGTTTATAACAGGATTTGTAATGAATTGTTTGATTGTTACTTAGAAGTTGGTTATTT